TTATAACCGGGGTACCCACTGGAAGGCAGGGAAGAAGAGAGTAAAAAAACACCTGGCGTTCCCCACCCTCATTCGGTCCATATACATTTAGTATACTGACCACCTTTGATTCCAACATCGGCAATATGTATATCCATCTTCCTTCCTGCTGGTCCGCTTCCCAGTTGAGTATTTCAAGTTTAGAATCGAGTGGGATTCATATCGCTACCCCCACGCTACAAGGTTTTGTTGCGTGAGCCCGGTATGTCGTGTGGGGCCAGAATTCTTTGTGTATGTGGTTGTGGGGAGGTGTGTCCATTAAGTGTGTCTCTTGGATGCAAATCACATGTGGCCATTCCTTACCCCCTACCCCTTTGATCAATTCGAGTATGGCTTGGCGTTTTGAATTCTTGGTAGACGCTAAACCATTCACGTTCATGGATCTGAGGTCCAAATCAGCGTTTCTTTTAATGAGCTTCCAGTGTTTGTCCTTGTTATAGAGTAGGTCAATTGAGTTAACTTTTTCAGACTTGCTACCCATTTTATACAATTTCTTCCCAGGTCACTGTATCAAGAATCCCACCTTTCGCAAGGGCTGCCTGACGTACTATTCTGAGAAGAAGGGTAGTAATATCTTCCTCTGACCAGAATTGACTAGACTTAATTTTAAGAATTTGTAGGTCCTTAATTGTTTCCGCATTCATCCATTTCAGAGAGGGCATCTCAGTTAGCTTGAACTTAATAAAAACGTCACTCTCTGCGACTCTCTCTGACCCTGGTAGCAATGTAGGGGAGACCCAGTCTCCCACTGGGAATTGCTCCTTTATTATTTTGAGTATTTGGGATCTAAGTAAGGATGTATGAGCTCCTTGCAGAGTGATCTCCCCATATTGAGATGGGAGAATCGCTGAGATCCCTGCTTCCCATTCTTTATTTTTTAATCTTACCGGGAGGAAGACCGTTCCTGATTTAGACAGGGGGGACTGATCCGCTGGCCGGGAGAGATGTGATCTGAGCTTTTGTCGTTTGCTGGTGGTATCAAACGATGAGGGAGTATTGACTAGTTGGAGTAGCTGGGGGGGCTGTGTAGTTTGCTCCCCTTGTTATTCCATTGTTTCTGAGGTTACTGCGTCCTCAGTCTGCTGCTTCTGTGTAAGGTCTATTGTATCATCATCTGCCCTCCTGGAGTTGATACTTACCATGTTTGTTGTATCTCATTCTGCCTTGCCTCCCTTCCCAGTTCTCTGCTTCGGGTGGGATGAGTTGCGATCGTCCTGTTCTAGTAGAGAGGATCTCCTATTCATTTGTTATGTCTGAGTAGATCCTATTTGTAGGAATTTTCTTTCTTCTGTTATTGGGGAGAAAATCTCAACCAATCTTGGATGTGAATGTGACGGGCCTTGGCTATTCATACTCGGAACCTCATCTGTTGTTGGGGAATCGTTCTGCAGGTAGAGATCTAATGAGGAAATGGTAATTCCCTCATTCTGGGACGGGTTGTGGTCTTGCAAGCATATGACTACTCTCTTGTCCATTGGGACGGGGGACTCATGACTGAGAAAACAATTCCTGACAATCTCTCTCCTTTCCTTCTGGATTTGTTATCATCATTTGGCTCGTCGTGATCACTACCTACAGATCTGAGGCCTGGATTTGATCCAATCCTTCGAGGGGATTGGACTGTTGATCCACAACGGTAACTGAAGTAACCTCGGATGTTTCTGTTTTTCTTTTCCTTCTTTCTTTTTTTCGTTGTTTTCTTTATCCTAAGTTTTTCCTCGGAGTGAGAGCCAGTTTTTCCAACGTATTTTTATGGTACCCTACTCTCTTCCGCATGATCAAGCGGTCACTCTGTTTATTTTGCCTAGAATGTTTGGACCGTATTTCTTTATTGTGGACTATGAGTCTAAGTTTCGTGTGTTTGTCTTTTCTCCTCGCCGGTTCTTTGATTCTCCTGGCTCCTCTGGTAATCCGGTATCCATCATGGAGTCCTGGTCTGTTTTGCCGCTACAGTTAGTCTGAACCTGGTTCAAGTCTCCAGCTTGTGGGTGGGGCCTCTCGAGAGGCAGCTTCTCTAAAACAACATGGAGGAGCTTATCACACATCTCAGACCAAGCAAAATATGGGGGGAGACCAAATTGAAGTGTTGTTTTCAGACTGTCATTACTCATCAAAAGGGAGGAAATTTGAACTTGAGTCTGCGACCAGTCTGTCCCTGAGTTAGCAGCGAATTTAAATTTCAAATTTGCTATGAGCCACATCGCCATCCTGTGCAGGCTGGACTGCAGTTCTGTCAAAGAGTCCACTCCCTCCCTTCCGGCTCCCATTACTGCAAACGGTGAGGGCGCTACCAGGGCATTTTCAACTTCCATCATATCAAGTGAGAACACTTCTTTCAACTGATCAATTTTCATGTATTCTCCTTCCTCCTTCTTCCCGAGTGATACGTCGGAGCTAGTGACCTCGTTTGAGAGATGTGGTATAACTGATCAGTATGGAAGCAGCTCTCCCTGTTGGAGAGATTGGTCCATCTGTTGTTGTGCTGGATGTGTTTGACAGATTTGTAGTAGCAGTAGTTGTTGTTGTTGTTGTTGTTGTTGTTGTTGTTGTGATTGTTGTTCTTGCGACTGGGCAGGGGATTGATCCTGGCTACTTTGATCAGAGTCTGGGTTGTGGGGCTTCTTTCTGACCTCTTTCCATTCCTGATTACCCGATTGCACTTTCTTTTGTAAATATACTTCCGGGGCCGGGCCCAAAGATCTGGTATATCTCGTGGAAGTCTCTACATTACCTCCTCCCTCCATGTGTGTCAATCTATTCAGTTTTAGTTGAGAGTGATCTTTCTGTTGTGTGCGATGATTACTCTGCAATAGCTGGTTTGACTGATTAGATTGACTTTGTTGGTTCAGCTGGTTTGGGCTCAGCTGCCTGCTCAGATTTTGATGCCCCGGGTTGCTGTGATTCCCTTGTTTCCCCTGATTACTATGGGGGGGTTGAAAAGATTGGTGTTGCGGTTGCTGATGCATGTGATGTTGCGGCACCCAATCTGCTAGAGGACGAGGAGTTTTGCGAAGGTCGTTTCTTCCTTCCCAGTACCAACCGATCGTCACTCCCATAGAGTTAGGTTCGTCACTATATACCCACCACTCATGCCCCGGTACCCCTGGAGTCCACCGATGTGGGCGCAGTGGATACTTATTCAATTTGTGCTCCGTAGTCATTGCATGTTGGGGATGCATTCGGCAGGCGAATTTCGTGCTTAGGTGCCCATACGCTTTACATTTAAAGCACCGTGGTCTGAATATATGGGTCGTGTGTATTTGATATATCCTCCCTCCCATCTTATATGGAATTATATCATCGAGTGAAAATGGTTGTTCCTTTTGCAGATCAAGAGCGAGCATCAGGTAATCACGTGTAACCGGTTGAACGCTGTGAACGCGCGTTCACGTTTAAACGCGTGCGTTCAACCCCCCAAGCCCCGCGTTCAATCACGTTTAAACGCGCTGCACGCACGAAAAAATTGAACGCAGTCCCGCGGGGCGCGCGCGCGCGACTGAGGATACGGGGTGGTGGTCCAAGTTCAACAAACCACCAAAGTGCGAAAACCGCCCCCGGGACCACCCTATACCCCCCCCCCCCCCCCCCCC